AACAAGGGAATCGTAGCAATTGCCACGATTTCTTTCCCTGGCACCGTCCACGAGCCGAGTAAATACGAAATGACGAAACTCGCGTTGTTTCGTCAGGCGAGTTCTGTGATCGATCGGCACCGGCGGCGCTGGACAAAGAAAAATGCATTACTGTGGGAACAATCCACCGAACGAGCAACCGTTACCCTACATAGGAGCTTGCATTGTGTGTATTCGTTTACGCCAGTTTACTTCACAGACCCATTTATTATTTCATTAGAGATCCGTGGCCAGGGACGGCTGTACGATCCATCGCGTATGGGCGCCATTCGATAGAAACGTTTCCAACGGGATTGAAATTGGGAGAAAACGAATTCCGAGAATATTCATTTACATTTTTCTTAAGGTAACTTGTATTATTGTTCGTAGTCTTGGGTAGACACAAAGAAAGGAAGAATAAATTTTGACGATGAGTCTCCACTTTCCCACTCATCTTCCAGTATCTAGAAATTAGATGAGTTAAAAACTATTCCCCTTTTGCTTAGCTATACTAATTTATTAAAAGTTTTTCTTTCCTGTGGCAATATCATAAACTAACTGCGCAGCTTGAATTTTCTTTTTCTTCATAATGGTGTGCCTCAAAGAGTTAAACTCTTTATCGTCATCTTTCACGATTTGGCAGTTATTTTCGCGGCGATACGAAGATTCTTATTGTTCGAAAGGAGACTGGAAAGAAAAAAGAGCGCGATACGGATGAACGTACGAAGGTCAGGTAGCGGCACAATGCAAAGGTGGCGCAGGATATATACCCGCGCGAAATTATTGCGATAATAAGCATCGCGATTTCCTCGTTGCGGCAAAAAGTACAATTGGAAAAACGTCGTTTCCTTGTCGAGCGCAACGAAGGTTGCGGTGCTCGCGTAAAACGTCAGAACGCGAAAATAAACGAAAATATCGACGGAAATCCACAAGGATAATTGTAACTTGCGCGTACGAATGCGAACAGTTTGGCGCGACGAGATCCCGTCGCTGGTATTAAAGGTTTCACGAATCGGAGCTTGGTACTTACACAGAGTGGACTTTTCGTGTATTATTCCGTGGTGAAATAATACGCTGAATTTTTTTCCAAATAAAAATAACGTTTCATCGACGAGTTACGGTAGATACGATCGCGAGGGATTGTTAAGAGGTTCGCTGATATAATTCTAATTCTTCGCGAGAATGAAACTAACGAAATTCTCAATCTATATGAACCAAAAATAGATAAAAATAAATGTCGATAGGTTTAGCGTTAAGGAATCGTCGTGCCGAATGAGAATTATGTAGACCCTTTAGCATGGCAGAGAAAAGAGTCACGAGGACTGGTAATTTTTCGTACGCTTTCGAGCGAATATCCACTTAATTTATTATCGCATGCGGCACGATAAATTGGCCAGGCAGCGGCCGCAGTATACCCGGTGAACACGTAATGAAATCGAATATTGAATTCCGCGCGGGTTTACGATGTATCGGCATTTCCATCGCATATGCACGCCCGCCATCCCATTAATCAATAACGCGTTCCATTAACCGGCGAAATTCTTCTTTCCGTGGAGAACATTTCTTTCGTGTACGCGATACGGTCGTTAAAGCGTTCGGGATTACGAGGGGCTACTAACTCGAATGTTATTTTAAATTCCATCCCGTTTTTGTTGCGTGAACTCTTTACTTTACGAAGTTACTAAATTGTAAGTTTCTAAATCGTATCGAAAGGTGTCTCAGGTAGAAAGCGAAGAACGAAAGGAAGCCCTTCTCCTTTGAGAAATTGAATTTAAAGGTGTTTAATTTCTTGGCGATTAAATACCGATTAACACGTTCGCTGCCAAACGAATATTCTTGAAAATTTCCGCTAAGATTAAATATTATTTAAACTATCGGAGTCTAGGTGACGAAACGTTCATTGCGGTATTTAGTTTTGTAATTACATCAAAATTCAAGAACTTCGTATAGATTCATCTCCTGTGACGTCCAACTCTCAGAATTAATCTTTCTAGTTCTTGAGTGAAAAACACTGTCACCCATGTATGGGTGACATGGCGGTCGATGTGTTAATCGTGGGAATTTGCGAACCGCTCGAAAATACCTTCGAATTTCGTCCTAGATGTAGAGGAACGATACAGAATCACTAGTCGAAGTATCACGACTACTTCTCTGAGTCACTTTAACGACTCACGCGGTTCTATGGAACGATCGTCGAGTCACGCGTGTATGGCTGAAGAAAGAGAGAGTGAAGCAGAGATACAGAGGCCTGGTTGCAAAGGATTGGCTGTCTTTGTGGCTGCTGACCGTTCCACGAAACTAGCGAGGCGATTTAATCATTATCGGCAATCTAGCCGTGCTGGCAGAAAGAAAAATCTGGGTCAGACGGGCTCGCGGCCGCTGGGGCCCGAACCCTGGGCCCCTCTATCAGTATTCTCCGGCTGAAACGCGAGGCGGAAAGCGTCGCGGCCGAGAAAAATGGAGCAACCGTGCCCTCGAGGAGAAGGAAAATTTTACGTCCGTTGCGAAACGTGGAAACCCGATGATTTATGGCGGTTCTGTTAATTATTTTCTTTTTATTACAGTTGTATCCGCCGTGCAGGAACATGCGTGCATCATTTATTACGCTCGTGGCTGCTGTTACGACATGGATTGCATATTGGTTTCTCATAGGCGCATCGATGGGAACAAAAATTCGAATCACTTTTTAGGTGTTTCATTTTTCAACACGTCGAAGTCGCGAGTACTTTTTTAAATTGGTATATTTTTATTATTAGAGTTTAGTAAGGTGGAGCAAGATTCCAATGCCAAATTAACATTATTCCGTTGGCATGATTTTTAAAGATATCAAAGTCATCGATATTTCTTTTAAATTGATATATTTTTATTATTAGAATTTAGTAGGTATAACGAAGATCTAATTTTAATTCCTCTTACAATTCTTTTGGCGTCTTCCAGGATAATTAACGTAAGTTTAGGCTGCTACTTCTGCGATATAGAAAAAGACTCCATCTTTCCTTTGCTTCCTTTTTCCTACCGATCTATATTTACTGAATCGTCTCACATTTGTTTAACTACCCTTCACTTTCAATTCTCTCAAATAATAGCCAACACGTCTCTGACCGTACGACCCGTTTTACTCCTTCAATCTTCCACTCAGAACACCTTCCCCTCGCCACCACCAACCTTTCTAAACAAAATACTCAACGAAGTCCCACAAAAACAATAGTCTTTCCTCCAGCTTGACATTTATCGCCGTCCGAGGCGCGCATAATTAAATCTGAAGCACAGCCCGTAAAAAGAAGACGACGGATCCCGTGGAAGAAAATCTATTCGTGGGTCGTAAACCATGTTTATCGTCGCGATTGACGATTAATCGCCTCGTATTAACGATTTTCACCGGCCGTTGTCCGACCGGCGGGCAACGATCGGCCGATTTAGCCCGGCCTATTGCTGAAACGCCGGTGCCACGCTTTTACGGCCGTTTTAATAATCGTTTACCTCCGCGAGCGAGGCAGTAATTAGCCACCGTGTATGTACGATGAGTAATCCGTGCTTTTTGCTCGTTGGATTTTTCGCTCGGCGTGGATTAGCATTTTAGATTCATTCCCGACGCTAGACTGTATCATTCTTTTCCAGCCGCGCGGTCCAGGCGCATCGGCGATGGCCAATAAATATTTATTAACGTTTAACTGCCGCCGATGAAAAATGTGTAACGCGGTATGCGACGAGGCGTTTCGAGCACGATGGTGGCGTGCTGGCGCGGAAACGATTGCTCAAATGCGGCGATTGCGCTCGTTCGCGCGAAATTGCGCTACCGTGGCTCGGGAAGTTAGTGTTCGCTATGGATTTTATGTCCCTTGGATAATAATCGCTGGGATGCTTTCGTAATCGATGTTTGGGGGAATATCGCGCTGCGGGACAGAATTCGTTCGGGGAATGTTCGAGAAGTTTCGGAGAACGACTGGCAACGGTTAAGGACAGCCAGCGCGTAACCACTGTTATGGTAACGCGTAACCACCCTTAGGGATGGAAGACATGCATCTATTTCTGATGTGTACGAGATTAAACTCGGGATTTATTTCTTGAGGGATATTGTCACATACGAGTCAGTCTCATAAGTATTTTTGTATCCTCTATATTTATTGACGAAGTTTGTCTAAATTAAATGATAGATGTGATCTTTGCAAATCAATGCTGTATTATGAATATATACATTTATTCGTTATAAATATGTACATTTATTTATTGAACAAATTTGTCTCAATTAAATGAATTTTTCATATACATATGTAAAACATGTATATATGTATCGTCAAAAATTTATTTGGAAACATCACATCTATTATTTAATTTAGCCAAACTTGTTCGATTCCACATTTTATTAAAATGTTTGCACCCGATCTATTTCATAATTACGTTTGACAGAGTCGCGTGACCGTGGAAACGTGGAATACACATGTTCGTGGAATACCTCGCGACTCAGATTTCTCGCAGTTGAATGCTTTTAGTATTTTCCCATATAGAGGATAAAATCGACTTTCCTCGTGATGAAATCTGTGGCGAAGCTTCGTTCAGCCCAAACAATGGAGACCACCTTCGTTTGCATTAGAAGTTTGGCAACAAGGTGGAAAACTCTACGAGATTTTAATATCGCAGGATCTTTAATATTATTGAAATTAAATAACGAAGAAGGGTGCCCTCAGCGGCTGTAGCTGTGCTTGGTCACAGCTGCAGTACGGGTTTGGCGAACCCGAGGTACCCGAGCTATTTCGAAACTCATTGAAGGTCTGTTACTCTCGAGTCAATAAGAAATGTCGACTGCTACTGTCGATGGTTACTTTAGGGTAGCAATTAATTGGTTGAAATTTTCTTTTCTTTTTTAAGGGTAGAATCCGTCTTGGACGCGTGACACTTTCAATTTTGTTGAGTGTTTCAGACTTTTGAGTAGGAACCAGAGAATATCAATTATGTGAACTGAAAGTAAGTTAAATAGTAAATACCTTGAAGCACCATGAAATCGCGAGTTCTTCAGTTCATTTTGGCCAGGTGTTGGCGAACAGAATGCGGAGTTCCATTTAAGAAAACTGAGATGACCTCTGTTGCTCCGTCTGAAAGGAAAATTAGGGCCTTATATACATATTTATCACCACTCACAAATTATTTTCTCTATGTACACTGATTATTTTTTTCCTTCTCATATCTTACAAAATAATTTACCTTCTTTTATTTCGTTCAATCTTCCACACCACCTCCCTCGCCAAAAAAATTCTTTTCTCCACATAATTTACCATTCCGCTTTAAACGAAACACTTCGTATACTCCATTTCTCTATCGATTGATCATTACATCGATTATTCTTTTGCTTCTCGCATCTTACAAAAATAATTTCTTCTCTACCCATTAATCATCCCTTTCCTCTCGCGTTGAACAGCTTGAAACTTCACCTTTGAACCGAGAGCGTTCGTTGTCTATAAATTCCCTGCTCGAGAAATTTTCTCTTTCACCCCCAGGGTGGGAGGAGATCGTCCAAAAAGTTTGGAAAGCAGCAATGCAAAACGAATCGGAGTATCAGCTCCGAACGGGAAACGAACGTTCGCGCTACCCGCGGGGTCGGGCCGTTTCAAAAATCGATTTATCGCCGGCAGGTACGTTGCACACGTGCAGCCGAACATCCGTATCTCTATCGTATATCACGATAACGTTATTAAGGGGCAATGATACGTGTCCCGTGCCACTTAACGATGGCGAAGAGGCCGAGTGTGTTGTCGAGAGCGCTTATATGAATTAGTGCGTCGAACGAAAGCGTTGCGCAATTAACGGGGGTGGCGTGTATGAATTATGCCGGGTTTCGTGCACGGCAGAAGGCGGTCAAGCGATAAATTGATTGCGTCAGATCGATAATCAAATTTGACAGTTATAACGGCAGGTTGTACGGCGTTGCTCAACGCTCGAATCTCGTTTCTGTTTCGCGAACTTGTATCTACCAGAGGTGGATGAAGAAAGATACTGATGCTGTATGGATGTGGAAAATGATTCCGAGCACCCCATTTCGAAGCTTCCGTTTAACAAAGTTTGTACAAGATAGAAAATCAATAGTAGGAATAAAACATAGTGATGGATATCAGGTGGATACTTTGCTAATTTAGTTTCTAGAATTTTGCAGACGTGGTTAAGGATGGACGCTATAAATATTATTCAAAGCACTCCATTTTAAAGCTTACATTCAACTTCCAGAATATGATGTGCAATTGAAAATAGTGTATTTAAGATTAGTCGTTTAACTGATTGCGATAGAAATAGATACAGGTAAATGTCGATAGGTTTAGTGTCAACGAAACAGTAAAACAAAACATCCCTTCGTAAAAATCTTGGATCGTTGATCGTGGCGACGCCGACGTTCCCCGTGAGAATAGTCACCGCGGAAACTCGCGGAAAAGGAGCATAAGTATAGCCTGCGACGATTGGAAGTGGATTCTGGGTTAGCTCCAAAATAGGAGCTGCAACGGCGACACGCGAGAAAGTTCCAACCGGGAACGTACACGCGGGGTATTCCGTACTTGCGAGACTTCTTCTTCGATTTACGATTTCAACGTACCGCTCCTGGGATTCCTCGAAGCCGATACTTTCCCTCGCGGCGCGTCGAAAACTGGACGCGCGACGCGGTTAATACATCGGCGCAAAAAACGCTCGGTTCGCCGTGAGGAAATTAAAGCTGGCGGATTCTTCCATCGATTTTGCGCGCATTCGCGGAGGAAAAGCCGACGACCGGGCGTTGAAATGTAGCGGCGAGCGCTTTTCACGGTTGTAAAAATTAGAGGAGAGCGCGGTGCCGAGTCTTGGATCGTAAATATCGAACGAAAGGCAGAATTTACGGTGGTAGTTTAACTTTCGAGTGACAATTTTTATATCCGCTTCCGCGTGAGAGGGCGACTGTTAACGCTTTATCCACCGACCTATTTAGAAACAGTTCGTAACTTGAAAAAGGAGTTTCTACGTTAGAATACGTTCATCTAGACTGACGTTAAATCCTCTGCAGTTTTAGTAAGTTCGTCGAAAGCCAAGCTTGTTTCTAAAAACTAAAATTAGTCATTTTGACACGTTTAACCTCGCTTTTCTCAAAATTCTGTCGGTCTACCTTAATCTTTCAACTAAATTTGAATTCGGTATACAAGGATCAACGATATTCCCCGAAATTGTGATCAATTATTTAATTATCCAGGTAATATTCAGCCAGTTGACTAAAGTTAGCCATCTTGGTACGTCCAACCTTATCCTTCCAACATTCTGATGCTCTACCTCAATCGTTCAACTAAATTTGAATTCAGCACACGAAAATCTACAAAAATTCTCTTCGATTGCGATCAATCGTGATCAATTATTTAATCATTTTAATCTCACTTTTCCGAAAAATTCTAACACTCTGGCTCAATGTTTCATCTGAATTCGAATTCAGCGCACGAAAATCTACAAAAATTCCCAAAAATTGTGTTCAATTATTTAATTATTCCGTTTCACAGCGACTAACGGCCTTCCTCTTGCGCGACTCCAACCGTTGTCCCCAGACGTGATAACTGAATTAATCGCTATCTTAATCGATTATGTACACACAGCTACACACAGATCGCGCGATTAACTGGCTGAACTATCGACCAGTCTAAAGCGGTGTCGCGATAGTCGGTTAATAGTCGCGCGACGTGTTGCGATTCCGCTTCATTGGACAAGCGTATTTAACGCTTTTTGCCGCCGCTGTCGAAACGACGGGGTCGAAGGGCAACGTTATAAATAAAACGTTGGACCTCTCGCATTTCTGCGGGTAGGCTGTCAGAAGTTCTCGCTGGTAACCTCCAGACGATTTATTCTTGCATTTTTACATTGTCGTTCGGTTGCAAACTCTCGAATGAAGAGAAAAACGGAACGGGGAAATTCTTCTTGCAATGGAAACTTCCTTTAACGATAGAGAGGTGAAGAATTCTTTTCGAACGGTAACGAAATTTTTGGTTTGTTGTGCCAGAGGTAAAAGAGATTCTTGATCTTTCGAAACGGTTCGTTTATTTTTATAAAATTAAATTGTCGAAGTTGACGCCTTGTAAGATTTATAATGTGATACACGTAAGTATATAGACACTTCCTCGATTGAAATGAATATCTATCTATTCATAGCTTCTCTATGAGACTTAATATTTTTTATTAATTAGTAAATACCGTTCGCCAAAAATTCTGAGAGCTACTTTTGGAAAACTCTTCCCGTCAAAGTGACCGCATGGATAGTTTCAACATCGACGAGCTCGTGGTTAACGTTTCGTTCGCGATTAGTCGAATTTCGCACGCCTCGTTTGCAGACATGTCGATTCGAAACGAAATTCCATCCGCCGGGATGCAACCACGTTGGCACACTCGAGCGAACGACCGCCGCGGCTTGCCAAGGATAATTTTCTCCCCTGCCGTGATGGATGATGGATTTTACATTGCTATAAAATCCTGTATTCAATGAACGCGTCCGGGATATGGCACACGGCCGTGGATGCAGCCTAATGACGTCGTCCTCTGCACCGCGTTCGCGGCGTCCCATTCGAGACGAGTCGCGCGAGAATCTGCAAGTAACGGCTTAATCGGTCTTGGCGTTCTAATACGCGCGATAGAATCGACGCAATTCTATGGACGCAGAAGGTGTTTCGCAATTTTCGTCTGGGGCATTTCGAATCCACGGAATGGAACTTTGAATCGTTTTTGTTTTGGCAAGTGACTTCCTTGCTCGACAGGACAGTTTGTTATTTCGTGGTCGCCATATTCTAAATATTTTCTCCATCATTTGCTGATAGTCACGCCTGTTGTGGATGTTAACCTATTCATTGAAGAATTTTTAATAGATTTTGTTATTTGGTTTTAATTAAATATATCAATACCAAAGCAATCTTCGTTTGTACATCGATTTTGAAGTACATACGTATACGATGTCTCGCTTTAATTCACTGCTGACTGCGAGCTGTCTCTAGTTCAAATTGATTGCAATTAGTCAGCCTGAATGAACACATGCTGGTGTAGAAAATTCTTTTTCAAACTGCAGACTGTTTCTAAATAGACCGCTAAATGAAATGTTGACATAGATATTATTTCCACTGGGAATCGTTACGCAATAATCCGCACCTAAAAATGAGTTTTAAGCATTTATCCGAAATTACCCGACTGTCCCCCACCTCCCCATCTTCCCCCTTAAGAGGAAAGAAAGTTACACGCGATGCTCGCGGCGCAGTGCAAAAGCGCTCGTATGTTGCCCGTCGGAGACGCGTTGCCACATCCTGGATTTATCGGCCCGCTTGTCACAGCGAACTGTACAGTCGCACACGTTAATGGTGAAAAGCGATGCGACGCCATAAATATTAATGCCCGAGGACTCCTGGCGGGAGTCATTGTTGAACGTACACGGTGAAACGTATCAACTACCGAACGGAGGAAAGCAGATATCGCCTCTTGTTCTTAGGTGACCGAGGTTGTCCATCTTGGAGGAAGACAGTGCATCGTGTCTTTATTTACCACCTTTGTTCGAGGTTCGTTGTAAAATTGGCGTAGATGTTAATTATGTGCCTTTACGTTCGTATATTTATTACTCTAGTTCGAGAGGAAGTTGAGAGGAAAGTTAAATCGCCAACTATCCAGGTTATCAATTTGATTTTCTTAGAATGGAATGTATGTAACCCAAGTCTCAAGATCATTGCAATTTTTATCTGTATGTACGAAGTTCAGTAACGGAGGAATCTTGCTCTTTGTTTTTCTTCTATCAGGTTGCAAGTGAATTTTTGACAATTACTAGGCGTAGAAATTAATTCCCTGTCTTCGCATTTAATTATTTACGACTATTGTCTAAATAAAAATATTTACGCGTCATTTTGTTGGATTAAAGTACCAACCTTCGTAGCAATGAAACATATAGATTGCTTCGACGTTTGATTCTACAACGATGTCTCTTCTCTTGGAATTTGTGACTGAGGAATGATTCATAATTCCCAAACTTCCCTCGTAACTCATAAGAACGAAGAAATTTTCATTCGTACGGATATTTCGCGCCCGGCATTAAATAAAATGGAGCCGAGTTGCCCCAGAGGCGCAACGA